GTTCTGTACGTATATACAGGGTGTCCCAGAACTAGTGTAAGATATTGAAATGGGAGGTTCCTGACGCAATTCTAAACAACATTTTCCTTTGCGAAAAAGTTGTCCGAGGGGTGGTTAAGGAGTTATTAATAAAAAACCCCGACCAATGAGAGCGCTCAGCTGGCGCGAGCTCCGGCTCGGGAGCGTTGGCTCGCGGCCGGACGCTTGGCTTTTGACGCGTGAACAAGCGCTCTGCTTAATACGAAGCGGTTTAAGAAAATAACGAATAATAAACTTTCACTTTTTCTTTTCGAACCCGTTTGAAATAAAAATAATCGTACAGTGCAGAGTATAAAGTAAAAGTGAAAAAGAAGACGTAAAATAGAAAGAATTAACAGTGAGAAAGGGACTGTGATCGCGGAAGGAAGAGAACAGCAAGTGCAGGTCATTGACCTGCTCTGAACATCAGCTGTGGCCGACCATCTGTTTTACCTACGAGCGGTAAAAATCGGTACTCTGACCCACTGACCATGATTCCTCGGAGCATGTGCTGCGGTTGAATGGGTATGTCTAATCTGTACAGTAAAATGTATTAATTGCTATTTATTTCCTTGCATTGTCATTCATGTAGTTTATTATTCGTTATTTTCTTAAACCGCTTCGTATTAAGCAGAGCGCTTGTTCACGCGTCAAAAGCCAAGCGTCCGGCCGCGAGCCAACGCTCCCGAGCCGGAGCTCGCGCCAGCTGAGCGCTCTCATTGGTCGGGGTTTTTTATTAATAACTCCTTAACCACTCCACGGACAAATTTTTCGCAAAGGAAAATGTTGTTTAGAATTGCGTCAGGAACCTCCCATTTCAATATCTTACACTAGTTCTGGGACACCCTGTATAGTGACACTTGCAATATGAAACAAATGGGATTCCCTTTGATCCTCTCGCAATTACGTCGTGTCTTCTCGGAACAGGCGAAATCTAATAAAAAACTGGATCGATCGACAGAAATCGCGGCGTGTCAAAACAAATGAGTCTGTTAATAGTTGTTGTACCGAGAATTATTACAATATACGCGTTCTGTCGGAGGTGAAATTTCGTTTGGACAGAACGCTGTCGAAGCGGTGGATGATTGGTAACTGGAGCGAGACCGAAGTTTCGCGCTTCAAGGATTTCTCGACAATTTCGGTCGTTTATCTGACGCGAGCTAACCTGCTGTTTGTGATCCTTTTGTTCTCGTAGACGTTCGGTTCACGGCCGATTAAAACCGGAATACGTGTCCCGTGAGATTTTAATTACATCCTTTCAACGAACGCGCAGATCTCAAGTACAGAACGGATCGACGATCACTGATCAGTAAGAAGTAACGCGAAAATATACGTCGTGTTTACACGTCGCAAACGTCTTTATACCGAATCGATGAATAATTGCAACCGGTGTTCCATGCCGATTTAGCTTGCGCATGAAACGACACGTGAAACGGGTGCATAACAGAGTATCCGTGATTAATTCACGTAACGACACCCACGTTAATTAAACCCCAAGTCCAATTAAACTTTCCAGTGGCTCATTAAACATCGAAACTTTCTACGAACGCGATCAGTCAGTTTCTAACTGTACGAAATGCATGCAGAACGTCTCAGATTTTCAAAATACTCTCGACAGAAATTTCTGTCCAAAGTTATTATTACGTGAAAGGAGGAAAACGAAGCCATCTCGTCGACGTTACTCTCACGCCCACGCGAACCCTGTCCATTTCCGTGGTTCGAAAGCATTTTTACAGTATATTTTAACAGAGTCGTCGTATCGATTCGTTCTTCCCCTCCGTCGAATTCGTTTCGACGACAAAAATGTGAACACGGAGGAATCGTCGAAATGGTCGCGTTGGACCGCGTATGGTACCGTCGTTTATGATAATTCTGCAGATTTGCTAGACATCAACGATGCATAGACTTCGGGGAAGTAAATACGGACAGGGACGAGAATACATCGTAAACGGGGTCAAATGATCGAGCCCCGAGCGAGCCAGGAGTTTAATTTTTAATCAGCCTTCCCGTCCGATAAGTTTCTCAAAGTGAAATCAAGGTTCTTTCTACTCGGAACGAATGCTTGAGATTCCTACACAGATCTCCTTAATCAAAACGGACGAAAATAAAATTGAAAATAAAATTCCGTCACCGGGTTAGACCGTAACCGTAGTTCTCCGCTTGGTGCCATTTCTAAAGTACAAATTAGTAATGAAATTTCAAACGAAATATTTTAACGCGAGGGTTGCACGTCAGAAGCCGGGAAAAAAAATGTATGAAGCGATGCATTAATGAATGAAAAAGGAATGTTAGAAAAATGAATAATACGTGCGATTATACTTCGGAAATGATACCAACCCAGGTCTCACCACGTGGAGGTGACTACGATTGAGACCCGGACAGTGGATATGGCCAATAACCACTGCCCCCTTTCCCTTCGAAACTCTACCGCGAGAACGATTCATCGTTCGATCGAAACGAAGATAAACGACGGAACGCAGAAATATACGCGTTACCGCAAGGAAATTATACGCGATTTAGAAGGGAAAGGCACACACACACACACACACACTCGTACCAGAAAACCACCCCCTGACAAAATTATTATAATTGAACGTAACTGAGCAAAGATATTGCGCCAGAGGTACGTTCATAATCTACGTTGTGCACAACGCCCTGACCTGTCTTAATTAATTAAATAGTAATTAAAATTAAACCCACCACCATTCTACGGACAACGTCAATAACAAACATAAAAGCCAACACATGCAAAGGTACTAACACAAATCTACCCATATTACTACCATAGGTACCGAGCTATAGCTCATACTTAGTTTCACCACGTCGATTCTTCTCTCCTCTTTTTAATTCCTGTGCACCTGTAACGAAACTCGTTCACTGGATTAATAACAGGCAGACCGCGGAT